TTCTCTGTGCCATCCATCTGTTTGGGAAGCAGACCACACCCAGAAGATCTCATTACCTGCTGATTACTAAGGCGTAACTGCCCAACCATCCAGATTCCTGATTCAGGTGATAAAAAACCTTGCCTATCCGAACAAATTATGGATAACCTTGTGAAATTTGGGAATTCCGGAACTCTTCGTTACTTACCCTAATGCATAACTTGTATATAGACCATGGGGCAATTTTTTGGGGGGAAAAAATTAGAGGATTCTTAAGGTTCACTATCAAGAAAGGTGTGTATCAGGATTTTAAACTCCCCCCCTCCCTTAGATCAAATGTTTTTAAAAAATCAATTTATTGGGGGCTCATGCAACTTTTATCACAATCCATACATCCATCCATTGGGTCAAACACATTTGTACATTTGTTGCCACCATCATTCTCAAAACATTTGCTTTCTACTTGAGCCCATGGTATCAGCTCCTCATTTTTCTCCCTCTCCCTCCCTCCCTCACAAACCCTTGATAATTTATAAATTATTATTATTTTGTCATGTCTTATCTTGTCCTATGTCTCCCTCCAACCACTTTTCTGTTGTCCATCCCCCAGGGAGGGGGTTATGTGTAGATCATTGTGATCCATTCCCCCTTTCTCCCCCACTTTCCCCTTACCCTCCTGGTATTGCTACTCATTATTGGTCCTAAGGGTTTTATCTGTCCTGGATTCCCTGTGTTTCCAGCTCTTATCTGTACCAGTGTACATCCTCTGGTCTAGCCAAATTTATAAGGTGGAATTGGGATCATGATAGTGGGGGTGGTGAGCATTAAAGAACTAGAGGGAAGTTGTATGTTTTATCGGTGCTATACTGCACCCTGACTGTCTCGTCAGGGATGTCTAGTTGCCTACAGATGAGCTTTGGGTCTCCACTCCGCACCCCTCCTCATTCACAAATATATGATTTTTTTGTTCTTTGATGCCTGATCCCATCGAGGCCTTGCGATCACACAGGCTTATGTGCTTCTTCCATGTGGGCTTTGTTGCTTCTCAGGTAGATGGTTGCTTGTTTATGTTCAAGTCTTCAAGACTCCACACGCTTTATCTTTTGATAGCCGGGCACCATCAGCTTACTTCACAACATTTGCTTATGTACCCGTTTTGTCTTCGGCGATCGTGTTGAGAAGGTGAACATCGTGGAATGCCAGTTTAATACAAAAAAGGGTTCTTGCATGGAGGGAGTACTTGAGTAGAGGCCCAATGTCCATCCTGTTATCTTAATAAACCTATAAATATAAACCTGTAATAATAAACTGATAAATATGTGTACATCTATTTTCCCATCATCATCATATATTCCATATGCACATGTCTGCATCTAGACCTCTATAATTGCCCTTTGCCTCCTAGTTCTTTCCTTTATTTTCTTTTACTTTCCTCTTGTCCCACTATCATGTTCAGCCTTCATTTGGGTTTCAGTAATTTCTCTGTTACATTGCCCTTGATCACACCCTACTAGGCCTCCCACACACTTGTCTCTGGGTTTGTTCACACCCACTCCCCCGCCCCCATCTCCAGATTGTTTATCACACCTGCCTTATCTAGATAGACTTGCAGAGATAATATGCACGGAAAAACAAGACAGAGCAAAACAAAGCAACCAAAGAAAACAAAACCAAGGCCAAAAAAAAAGAAAAGCTTGTAAATACTTCAGGGTCTGTTTTTGACCTTTAGGAGTGTTTTCTGGTTGAATCTGATGGGGTGCCATGCCCTCACCCTAAAGTCAATTTTTTGTATCCCCTGGGAACTTCGTTGCTCTGTTCCCCTTGCTGTTCTGTTGCATACCCTTTGTGTTTCGCCTCAGTGTGGTGGGATCAGATTGGGTGCAATTTCCACACTGTGTCTCCAGATTTTATCCTTTTCCCATACTTATTGCCCCTGTATTCTGAGGATATAATGGAAGAAGCTGGGTTATATTCATGCTGCATGAATCAGGATTGGTGGAAGACTTGGTAACTACCTGCAGTGTGCAGAGGGCACCTCCCTGCTTGCTGAAAGTGAAGAGGGCCCGATTGCACCCCAACATAAAGGGAGCAAAGAGTCCTCACACTGGATCAGTAAGTGGTGTCGGTTTGATTGGGAAAATATGGATGCTGTGAAGCATTTCATTTTACTTGAATTCACAGTCAACATCCATGGAAGCATCCACGAGGAGTTCATAGGACACATTGCATTGGGCCAATCTGCTGCAAAAGACCTTTGTAAAATGTTACAAAGCAAAGATGTCACTTTGACTTCTAAGCATGGTGTTTTCAATCACCTGATATACATGGCGAAAGCTGCACAGTGTATAAGGACGAGCAAAGAAAAACTGATTCCTTAAATTAGCATGTTCTGAAGAGTGTTACCTGTATCACGACTGCCAGGAGAAGAAACAAATCTGTCGTGGAAGAAGTACAACCCCAACGCCTGGTGGAAGTAAGAATGGCTAGACTTCACCGCATGTACTTGGACATAGCACTAGACCATCACTATGTATCCCTGGCGAAGGACATCACTCTTAGTACATAGAGGGTCAGTAAAAATAGAGGGTCACTCACTCATCTCCTTCAATGGATTCAAATATAAAGAACAGTGGTGGAGAGGATGGCGCAGGACTGGCAGTGTCTCCTTTAGTGTGTGTGTGTGTGTGTGTGTGCGCGCGCGCGCGCGCGCGCGTGCACGCGCGCACATGTGAATATGAATGGAATCAACGGCACTTGAGAACACCTATATACAAAGCTTTACTGAAAAGCGGTCTTTGGCTTAGATAAGACAAACTCTTGAGTTTATCACATGGCTCTATTCTGTGACTGTTACATCCAACACACTGAATTTGGAAAGGCCAATACAGCAATTCCAGTGACTCGGTAGCACTGTGCAAAACCAAACTCAACTTCTGTCTGGTTGATTCCGACTCACAGCGGCCCTGTCGAGCACAGTAAAAATAGGTTTTTGCCCCTGTGGGTTTTTGAGAGTGCAAATTGTTACGGACTAGAAAGCCTCATCTTTCTCCCTGGGAGTGGTTGGTGAGCAAACCAATGTGTAACCCATTATGCACCTGGTACTGGAGGCAGCTTAGAGGACAGTTAGGAGACTGGTTTTTTTTAACTTATAAACAGTTAAGCACTCAGATACGAACAGAGATGTTGGCAGTTTGAATCAACCCATTGGTACCTTGGGATCTACTTCCAACTGGTCATTACTTTGAAGACTATGAAGCATTTCCTCTGCCTATAATAGACCTGCCAAGTGTCCACACCAACTCAGTCGCAACCAATGACTGCAACATAGCTGGGATTTGATAGCATGGTAACCTTGGACACGACCTCTAACTTTTGGAAGTGTACAGCAGGGATCAAGTACTTCCTAGAGGAGCCATGGTGGTATAGTGACTATGAGTTGGACTTTGATCTGCCAGGTCATCAGTTCAAAACCACCAATAGCTCCTCAGAAAAAAGATGAGGCTTTTCCTTCCTGTGAGCAGTTAGGGTCTCAGAAAACTCATGATATACCGTATATACTTGAGTATAAGCCGAGTTTCCCAGCACATTTGCAATGCAGCTTTTGTGGTAAAATTAGGCACCTCTGCGGATTTCGGGTCGGCTCGTACTCGAGTATATATGGTCGTTGTGTTCTGCCCTGTCGGGTTACTCTGAGTGGGCATTGACTTGAGGGCAGCGAGTGAGGTCTTTTTAGATTTAGGGTGTTGTGAGTATGTGGCACAGGTCAAAGAAATGCAGTAAAGACTGTCATATAAGGAACACCAGGGCAGATACATAGTACGTGTGCGCTGTTAGCGTTTTTAAATATTCATCGTACCAATCATGGTGCTTATGATTCTTGTTCCTTTGCGAAGTGCTTTCTCTTTCTAGTCTTTTATTTCTTCTCGTTTCTTCTTTTTGTATCCAGGACCCTAAGTTGGTGATAGCAAAAGAATTACTTGTTCTTCCAGTTTAGGTGTGCGGAACCTTTTCCTGCCAAAGGCCATTTTGATCTTTATAATATCAACTACCTAAAAACGAGCCTGCTATATTTGGTCGTACAGTTGATGAACTTAATGTGATGGCTGGATCGGTGTCTCTTTCGTGAGGTGTGTGATACTAGCTGGTCTTGATGATTTTACGAGCCTCATATGGCCCGTGGGCCAGACGGTCCCCACCCCAACCCTAATGAAAGCCAGCCCCCCAGTTGTCAAGTCTGTTGTCCCGTAGTAGAACTGCGCCCATAGGGTTGCCAATGTTGTAGGTCTTTACAAAAACTTTACATGTGCTGCCACGGCTTTCTGTGGAGGGGCTGGTGGATTTGAACCATTGACCCCCTGTGCACTTCGCCACAGCACTCCCAACGCTCCTTGTTCAGTAGAGAACAATTGCTAGCAAAATGAACCGAATGTTGTAAGGGTTTACACACAGTGCTCTGGACAACTGTTTATGAGGGAGCCTGGCTGGTATCCCACGCTGCCCCAACGTTTGCTTTAACCCTTTTTGGGTTTTGCTGATCGAAAGAAACCCAAAGAGGATTTTCGCTCTTAGGGAAAAAGTGCAAAGCCAGACTCGATGTAAGTGTGTTTCGCTGCAAAACATTAAGAGGCACCAGGCACCCCATCCAGTGAGTGGCCTCTCTAAGCTCCTTCCCAGCACCTGCCTGCCCCTGGCCATCTTAGCATCTGGCCATCACAGCTTGAACTGTGGCGGTAAACACTGTATGCTAATGTTATTTTGGCTTTTACTCCGGAGCTTGGGGAAAGCTCAAAAAATCATGCCATATACATCAAATGGCAATTGTTTCTTCACTTGATACCATTTTTTTTCTTAAAACGTTTCCTAGGAAAGATTCACTTTCAAGTGACTCAGGAAATCTGTATGTAGGGGTTATGGGCCACTTTGGAAATTGCGACCAAGGTGCATGGGCCACCCCATGTTAGCTTCCACCTGTAAGTAGAGCGGGGAGAGCCTGGTGGTTGACTGTACCTCTTTCTCCGCAGCAACAAAGGAGAGAGCGCGAAGCCAGGCGGCAGCAAGAGCGGGAGCAGCGAAGGCGAGAGCAGGAGGAGAAGAGACGCCTGGAGGAAGTGGAGCGGCGGCGCAAAGAGGAGGAAGAGCGGAGGCGGGCCGAGGAGGAGAAGAGGAGGGTTGAACGAGAACAGGTCAGTTCCCAACGACGGTTCCCAGGCTGTTTGTGAGAACCCTCGTTCTGCCCGCGTGCATCTCGGGGTTAAAAAATGTGGAAGCACACCAAGAAAGCCAATTCCTTGTCTTTATGCCTGAGAAGCCTCTTAAAAACAGTCACTTAATGAGTTGTCAAATAGTATAACACCCAAAAGATACCTGAAAAAAGTTTGTGAACCCCGAATATCAAGACGCTAATGAACTTTCCTAATGGCGTGCATACACAGAAAGGCTAGGACCAGTTTTATGTTATGCTCAGCCGGAAAAGGCGGACTTGCGGCAATAGAGCATTTTATTAATGCCACACATGGCTTTATAGAGATCATTTCCTTTTTTCCTCAGTAATCTGTGTCAACAAAAGTAAGCGCTGCCTGCCTTTGTGTGTGTGTTGTTGGTATGACTAGTCGCTAACCTCTGTACTTATCATGTCTCTGAACTGACTGCTCAATGTCTTAAGCTCTGATTTAGCGGCAAGGTGTAAATGGAGACTAGTTTGAAATCATATTTGGAGTTCATATCTTTACAATATTTGTAAACCACGGGACTACCTTTCAACCTTGATTTATGTGTCTGCACTTGAAGCGCTCATGCACTTTTCTTGCTGAACATGGGCTCTGCTCCCTGGCACTTGGCCTAGGAATTAAAGGACCACTCGAATCTCTTACTTTGTTGGTATTTAACTGCTTAGGGAACTGGGTCATGTGTTTTGTTTTTTCAATATTCTAGTTGCATTTACACATGGGGCCTCCAAAGAGAGAACATTTTATATAAGCGTTGAAGAGTTAAAAATCAGCTAAGATTAATTCTCACAGTTAACATTTGAATTACAGGGGAGAGTACGATAGTACAACTCAGCATTAGCTCTGCAGTGACAGTCCTTAGGTTTGGGGAATAGCTTCTTTTGTGCACCTTCTTCTTTTAAACAAAGAAGCATCTGAAATCACGGTTACTCTTCATTATTTCTGTTACAAAAGAATTACTTCCATGCTAACAATGCTATGGGAAACATGCGAGGTCTGCATAGATTGTGTGTGTGTGTGTGTGTGTGTGTTCATTGGCGGCACGCTAAAATCATTGCCATTTGTATAGGACACGTCGTTTCTAGTTGCCCTGCAGTGCGAGGGCAGGAAACAATGCGGCTTCAATTTCTGGCTCGGAAGTAACCCTTTAGTGCTACTTCTTACAGAGAGAGAGCTTGCATGTAAATTTCGTTCTTTGTTTAATGATGTGTCTACTTGGTACTTGGTGGATTTCTCGCAGTACTGTCACTCACACAGTGCATATGTTCTGTCACTGCACAACTCCTCATGGTTTAGCCTCCTGGTTGTAGATGGCGTGTGTCGGTGGGGCTGCTGCTGGGGCAGTGGCTGTCGTAGCATGGGTGGTTGTAGATGGCGTGTGTCGGTGAGGCTGCTGCTGGGGCAGTGGCTGTCGTAGCGTGGGTGGTGGAGAATTACATGGGTAAATGAATGGGCCTAGGAGGCCAGGTCTGAACCAAGCGACCATTTCCAAAGTAAGCTTCCCCTGATTGGCGTTTTGACTAAATTTGTAAGATAAGTGGTTCTAAAGAAACATATCTGTTATGATTTCTCTGTCATCTAGCCTTTTCCCAATGAGAATTACTGGCTAAGTAAGACTTCTGCTCAACCCACACACAATGAAAACATTTTGCTATGTTTTAATTCCATTTTCCACTATCTTTTTGAAATGCACCCCTCCCCACATAGAGCTTTAAAAAAAAAAAGTCTAAATGTGCCATCGTGCAAGTTGGATGGCCAGCAATAGGGCGTGGGGGGTGGGGATCTGAATTTCAGAATAAAAATTCTCCTCATAGATGCTTGGAGCAAATTAGTTAGAATTTCTCACTTGAAAAACAAGACTGCTGCTTATAAAAGGTTCTAAACTTTTCATAGTTTTTCCCTTGTGTGATATTTGAGCTGCATTTTGGGAGTTGGTACTAGATAGTCTCGATCCTATTTGTCTAATGAGCCTGAGAGCTGGCCACAGATAGAGACCATCAAGCTGTTGCTCGGTGTGACCTGAAATACCGTCAAGATTTACAATAGACAGGCAACGCAAGGCAGGGTTTCTGCAGGACTTTATTTTGGAAATAGCGCCATGTGTTCCTCGTGACAGGTGAGTAAGCCATCCCCTCTGCGGAGTTACATGCAGAGCCTGCATCTGTTCATCCAAGGTGGGCTCCCGAGCCTGCTGTTCCCAGACCGGGGCCCGTAGGGTGTGGTCATCCCAGGTATCTTCTGAACCACAGGAAGCGCAGAGCATGCTTAGTTTCATTTTGTTACTACGTGGGATTTGGTTTTAGATTTCAAAAACTCCCTGCTTTGGAATAAATGACCATTCATAATTAAACATTTATTGATCAGGACCGTCTGATTTTCTGTGTACACTTCTGAGTTCTCTGATGGCTACCAGCCTTAAGAGGCAGCAGGCCCCTTTAGGACCCCGTATTTGCCTGTACCAGCAGTGCCCTCATAGAACTGCGCTCCCCGCCTGCATGCATGCCACTGAAGGGCAGGCACAGCACCATTGATTAGACATTTTAGGGCTCAGTGGCCCGTTGCCGGGTCTTGGGAACCTCTTCAGCAGTAGGTTTTATTTTGTTTGTAGCAGCGTCCTTCACTAGTGAATTTCCTACTAACGACGATTGGGGCAGGTGGTCCTGAGGCTTTCCTTTGGGCTGAATTGATCGCTGGGTGGTTTTTGTGTGACAGGAGTATATCAGGCGGCAGCTGGAAGAAGAGCAGCGGCACTTGGAAACCCTTCAGCAGCAGCTGCTCCAGGAGCAGGCCATGTTACTGGTAACGCACCGCATCTGTCTTCTTCTGCGCCCCCTTCCCCGGAGCTGGGCACCGCACGGGTGGTCACCGGCACATTCTCATGAGTGTTGTGGGCAGACAGGTTCAAACGGAGGCGTCCTCTGTGGTCCTAGTGCTGTGGGTGGGCACCTTGAGAGGTGACTCCTTTATTTGTTTATCTTCCACCAACTGTGCTCACTCGGTAGATGGACAGAGTTTTGAACCTGTCACTCAGTGAACAAACTAGAGCGGGAAGGTCTGTATAGATTCACAGCGCATGCCATGTTCCAGAACTCCTTGGGGATACATGTTTAGGGATATACTGGTGGGGGATTTTTTTGCGTTGTGTACTATACATATATTTTGCCACTGAAGCCAACATTTAATTGAATTCTCTTTTACTCTGTTCAGTGATTATTATCCTTAGCAACAAGCTGTCAGATTTTTCCACAGGTAATAATGCCATTTAAAATCACAGCCGCTTTTGCTTTATTTGAAAAAATCAAGGGGGAAGTGTGAAAAAAAAGTATGTGCTTAAATTACAAACACAAAAAGGAGTACAGAAACGGAGGTGAGCTCTCCAGCGTCCGTAGATTTAGTGTTATCCTCTCCCTCCCAAAGGAGTCTCGATGGCGGGAGATGGAGGAGCATCGGCAGGCAGAGAGGCTCCAGAGACAGTTGCAACAAGAACAAGCATATCTCCTGTCTCTACAGCATGACCACAGGAGGCCGCACCCGCAGCACCTGCAGCAGCACCCACAGCAGCACCCGCAGCAGCAGCTCCCGCACCCGCAGCAGCAGGAACGAAGCAAGCCAAGCTATCACGCTCCCGAGTCCAAACCCCATTACGACCCTGCTGACAGAGCTCGAGAGGTAGCGTCTCTCCTTCGTTGCTTAGATGTTGGTCCTGCTTTGTGCCCTGGAACGTCCTAGAAAGGCTCTTGAGAAGTGGTGTGCTATTACTACGAGAGTGGGCCAGAGAGGCCCTCCCACGAACCACCCTCTAGGTTCTCTAGCTCGCTCTTTGTTTCCAGAGAAATGAAGGGGGCTTACATCGTCTCATGTGTACACCCCTACCCCCACCTCCCACCCCAAAGTGCCTTAATGGACACATCTTTAATGAATTGGAAACTGAACCAGAAACAGGTTTGGCAGAACCATTCCAAAAATATATAAATGAAGGAAATGGTCAGTTGTTTTTCCAAAACTGGGGTGAGCATGAAGGGTGCCTGGTTTTTACTAACTTATCCACCGTTGGGATGGGTTGCTGACATGCAGGTATCTTAGACCTAGTCGGAGCTCCAGAATAACCAGGAGGTGGGAAAGCATGGACTGTTGAGGGCTAGCATGAAGATCCCAAGCCATTGCCACCGAGTTCATTGAGATTCACAGTGACCCTGCCATATCAAGGAGAGACGCCTGTAGATTTCCAAGAGATCCTTGTCTCTCTCCCTCGGAGCACCTTGTTGGTTCTGCCCACTGACCTTTGGGTTAGCCACTGAGGCACAGGGCTCCTTCAGGAGGGTGTGGACATGAAGTGCTTCCAGACGGTTTTGGATGCTGGCCTGTAGGTGGCATCCTTCCACTGTGTGTCGCCCTCACAGAGTGACTTCTAGGAAGAAGTCTTTTCCTCACTCCGGAGTGGCTTTGTTAGGTGGTGGAAAGAGGGATTTCCAGTGAGGTCTTCGAATCTATTCGTTTAGTTGAATGTAACAGATGGATTTTTTTTTTTGCCAGTATGAAATTGTATACGACCAGCATACTGGGCCAAGAGGAGATCTTTTAGGTTGTTGATTCATATTTGTTTTCCTGAATGAAACTGTAGCCCTGTGTCATCTGGCCACCCCTCCTCCTCCCTTTTCTGGTCGCTGAAGTTACACTAAAACCATTTCTCTTACGAGCCCCTCCATGTTCAGACTTTGCGCTCTCTGCTTTCCCTACTAACAGTGAGTTCTGTCTTCTAACTCTCTGATGCAGGTGGAAGATAGATTTAGGAAAACTAACCACAGCTCCCCTGAAGCCCAGGCTAAGCAGACAGGCAGAGCTTTGGAGCCGCCAGTGCCTTCCAGATCAGAGTCTTTTTCCAATGGCAACCCCGAGTCCGTGCACCCTGCCCTGCAGAGACCAGCGGAGCCCCAGGTAGCGTCAGTTCTGCCGTGGGCTGAGATGTACGCCTCAGCTCGCCAAGCATGGACCTGCTTGTGATGCCAACAGTCTGGTTCATCCTGCATGGAGGAGGAGATTAGCTGTAGTGATTTTAGACTGGTTTAAAGAGGGATGTGCGTTCAGTTCTTAAAAGAAAAAAAGATCCCCCCCCCCTGCCCGTTTTTAAAGAAAGATTTTTGTTATCTGAGAAGGCTTCCAAAAGTTGAAAGGTAATGAAAGTTTCCCACCCACACAATTTTGGAAGCCCACTTGTATTTATTTTGTATTTATTAAGGATATCGAGACTCATTGATTTCTTTCCCCAATATACTAACATTTACCTTCTTGAACTCAGATTACTTTTTATAAATAAGCGTCTTCTTATTTTAGTTCAAAGGTTGTTTTGTTTTATTTTTAGTCGTAGAAATAAATGGAAGGACATATAGAGCTTTAACATGCCTGTTCTACCACTCTTTTCAAAGTAAGGTCTTCATCCTGTGATGTCTGGCTCCGGGCAATTTCCACGAATGGGCTTTGAAGAGTCTATAACTCACCTGAAATTTCAGGTGTAAAATTTTTTGTTTTGTTCATATGTATATGATTTTGGGGGGAAAGGGGCATTTCACCAGTTTCTCAAAGGGTTCAAGAACCAAGGAAGATTAAGATCCAGTGGGTTGTTAGGATCGCCGGGCCCTGAAGTAGGTCCTAGTACAGGCCATGGCTTCTCATTTGGAGTGGAGCAGTATTCTGTCGTGTGTAGCTGAGGGAGAACTGCGGGATGGGTTGAGAGGACCCTCCATATGCTGTCTGGAGAAGAAAGTAGAGACCAAAGATTCCTACCCAGGCTAAAAACCTGAGAGATCCTTAACATACAGGAGCTAGGATATTTTTCTTCTTCCGCTGGCTCATCTAGAATATCGGGAACTGTTTCTTAAACTTGAGTCACTTGCCACTGGTGTTTGTATGTGTTAGGGGACTTACGTTCCTGTTTCTGTGATAGACGTAGCTGTAGTGTCTGAAAGACTAATTGGAATGCGAATCTGAAGGCGCGCTGTAAAGTAAGTAATCGCCTTGCATTTCTAAGAAATGAGTTGGGGGACCACAGCATGGAGGAGTTAAGAGCCAGACCTGAAGGTGAAAGATGGGATGCTAGGAAGGACATTGTTACATGGGGCCAAAGAGCTGACCCCTCAGCCAATGTGCAGCTCCACAGAGCAAACCCTGAAAGGAACGCGGGCAGTGGTCAGAGGAAATCAAAGGAAGGGGGGGACAGATGAGCTGAATGAGTCTGACAGTTTAGTTCTCTATCATCTCTACCGTTTCTCTGTATAGAGCTAAGTGAAGCGTCCAGAATAAACATTTTTGTTAATTTACCTTAAAGAGAAAACCTTTTGCCATCTGACCTCTAGCCGTGTGAAAGTAGGAGTGCCTGCATTGTGTAGCCTGATTTCATAGTCATGACTTGTTCTTAGACACAGTCTCCCTTTCTTCCTTCCGTGTTCTACAGTTGCCGTTGACGATGACTTAACTCTGTGAAAACCTTCTGTGGTGTGAACTGTACTCCTGTAGGGCTGTTTCAGAAGCCATTTTTAAAATGTAAACTCCCAAGTGATCAATCACACGCTGTTCCTGCTGAAAAATCTTAAAATATCTTAGAACTCCGGGTGCATGTGACTCTTACCTTTAAAATATAGAAATCATAGACCCAGCAGTAGCTTCAGATTTTACATATGGCAAAAATTGAATCAGTTGTAATCTAATATGTTTGTACAAAGTACATTGATGTCTAAGATAGGTCACTAGATTTATGTAAATTTACAATATTGAACTATTCAAGATAAGATTTCATTTAAAGTATCTTGAGTTTGTTTTCTGTATTTAAAAGTAACTGGGTGCATGACAGATACTCAGTTGATAAAGTCAGTGCCATGCTTTTTGAATTATCAAGAGGAATACCCCAACAGAGGTCAACTAAGGGCCACAATACGGAATCTTTCTTTCTTTTTTAAAATCTCATTTTCTTTTCTTAAAAAACAAAACAAAAAACTGGTATAAAGATGCATGGAAGTAACAAATTGCGTTGTTTTTTTTTTCCAGAGGTGGGAGAGGGAAGGAAATGTGTTGGTATTTTTGAAATTCTGGCAGTCTATCAAAACTTACGGGGTTTGCCTTTGCTTGTTACATGTGCTGTTTGGTTGTTAATTTGGTCTGAAATCTTAAACTGCCACGTACTGTGAAGATGGCTGGAGAGTCTGCATGTGTGACGCGGCCCCTCCCGCGATCTCTCAGCCTCTCAGCCTCTCTGTGTGACATGGTTGTGCATGTAGCACTTCACCTGCCCTTTAGGACAGTAGGCCCATAAGGCTCCTTTTACGTGATCCCCCTGCTGCCTGCTGCCCGTGTACGTCTAGGTATGAAGAGAGTTTTCCTTGTAAATGTGCGTTTTTTCTTTTGTCCCTGCTGTGTTTCCCAGACCATTTCCATTTGAAAGTCTTAACTGTTGCTTGACTCTCCTAACACGGCACCCTCACCCCCCTCGAGCCCCCCATTTTGCATTGCCCCCTTTGAAAGTTCCTGCTTTCGATTTGCTGTTGACCAGAAAAGCCAGTTTTATGCCTTGAATGTTTTGTGTTTTGTTTTCTTGTAAGGTACAGTGGTCCCACCTGGCATCTCTCAAGAACAATGTTTCCCCTGTCTCGCGATCCCATTCCTTCAGTGACCCTTCTCCTCCCAAATTTGCACACCACCAGCTTCGTTCTCAGGACCCATGTCCACCTTCCCGCAGTGAGGTGCTAAGTCAGAGCTCTGACTCTAAGTCGGAAGCGCCCGACCCCACCCAAAAGGCGTGGTCTAGATCAGACAGTGACGAGGTGCCTCCAAGGGTAAGAAGCAGAAAGACAGATGTGTGCTTCTTTTTCGTTTGTCTTTTTTTATTTTAAAAGGTTATGTGCTTTAATTAAGGGTATGATGACTTGACCACCATTAAAGGGGCAGTGAGATATCCAAGGAACTTTTTATGGTGGGGCGAACGTTCCCTGGATGATACATTCACCAGTGAGCCGTCTGGTTTTTATTGTTCCTAGTGACTATGTACTCTGTTACGGCTGCAGAGTGATCCCAGAGTTGTTAAAGTGAAGGTTGCACAATGGTCTCAGAGTCAATTTATGAGTATACTTCCAACCCAAATGGAAGCATAATTTACCTTAGCAGCCTCAAAGGTTAGACCAAGGCAACGTTATTTTGCAACAATTACCAATATCAAAAATATTCAGAAAAGGACTTAAGAAAAAAAATTTGACATGTTTCAGGGAAAATGATTTTTCCCCCCTTTTGAAATAAATTTAAGATGGTTTCTTTTTCTGGTATATGCTGGTGAAACTAAACAAAAAGGCACATTTTAGTTTGCTTTTCCTGCACCTGGAATTTGCTTCCTCTGAATATTTTCTTGCTTCCTACCGGTCTTTGCTTCCTGCTGATCCGTTTGTAGATCATGGTTTGGTTTCTTCAAGCTTATTTCCCCGATTCTCACATGATCGCAGCAAAATGCTCCGTATGGCCCTTGCCACCAAGCTTCCGGCCAAACATTAAATTGTTGCAGAAGCATAGAAAGGCGTCCTTAAATGCCTTGGATTAAGTTTTGCTCTTCCCCTTTGTATCCGTGCATGGCCGGGGAAGGAGCAGGGGTGGGGGGTGGGTTGGTGGTAGTAAGGCTGACTTAATTAGCATTGTTTTAGCACTGTGTCTTGATAGGGAAATCCTTTTTCTCCACGTTCTTTGTAATCTGATTGTTGTATTTTCTACCTGAAGGTTCCCGTGAGAACAACATCTCGCTCTCCGGTTCTGTCCCGTCGGGATTCTCCGCTGCAGGCCAGCGGCCAGCAAAATAGTCAAGCAGGTCAAAGAAACTCCACCAGGTAAAAGAAGACCAGACCCGAGAACAGTCTTCTAGTGGGCCTTCTGTGTCCCATCGCCATGTGTCTCCTGTTTTGCAGTCGTGGTCATGGCACTGGGGTCAAGAGAGGATCTCTTTGAAAAGAAAACTGTGCTGTGAAATTCATTGGCATGCACAAAATCCTTGTGCAGAAAAGGAGGCTGGTGTATATTAGTCATTTTGAAATAAAAAGTCCCACCCACTATGAAGGGAGACGTCGGACAGGGCAAGATATGACAAAATACCCATTTATAAACTATCAAGGGCTCATGCGGGAGGGGGGAGCGGGGAGGGAGGGGAAAAATGAGGACCTAATGTCGGGGGTTTAAATGGAGAGAAAATGTTTTGAGAAACGATGTACAAATGCGCTTTACACAATTGATGTGGGTATGGATTGGGATAACAGTTGTATGAGCCCCTAATAAAATGTTAAAAAAAAAAAAAAAAAAAAAAGTCCCACCCACTGCCATCCGGCGGAATCCAACTCTTAATGGCCTGATGAGGCCGGGCAGACGCTGCTCCTTCAAGCTTCTGAGGCTGACGAGCTGCCCAGGAGCAACCAGGCTTACCTTTGCCTGCTGAACTGCTGGTGGGTTTGAACCACTGACCTTGAAGTTAACAGTTCAACCGTAACCCATCAAGGGCTCTTTTAAGAACAAACTTCCAGCCCCTATAACAATTTGTAGAGGGAACAACTGAGAAGAGAACCATAGTTCCAAGAGGACTGTATTTAGGATCTCTGGGCTATATCAGGTTTGGGGGATGATGTAAGAGCCACAGCTTCCTGAAGAAAGTCTATGGTGCACTGACAAACCACAACAAACTTATAAATTAGCTAGATGATATGTTTAACTTCTAGAGCTGCTGGGTCTAATACGGCAACAATGAGCCATATGGGCCATTTTGATTCAGTGCAATTAAAATTGTATGTAATTTGCATTTAATGTAATTAGAATAAAAGCTAACCTCCATAGCGAGACTCTCCATTTCCATGTGTTCCGTAAGCACATGTGGTTCATAGAATGCAGAGAAGGAAAAGATCATTGTGTTGAATGTTTTGTAACTTGATCATCCCCGAATATCAGAAGTTAGGTTGGACCTTGGTATGATATGAAGTAATGGGAGAGGTGGTCAATAACCCAGGAGCCAGGACAACCCCAAATCCACTGCCATCACGTCTGTTCTGACTCAGAACGACCCCATAGGACAGGTAGAACATCCCCTTTGAGTTTCAGAGACTTTAACTCTTTATGGGAATAAAGAAGTCTCATCTTTCTCCTGTGGTTTCAAACTGCCAACCTCGCAGCGGCTAGCAGCCCGACTTGTAACCACTACCCCATTATGGCTCCTCAGAAGCATCAAAGAATCCTCAACATTCTTCAGTAATCAGTTGCGCTGCGGCAGTTGCCTATGATTAAATCTGTTGCATTCATTCTTGCCTGGCAAACTTGTGGTGTGGACACATCCACGACTGGACGTACATTATAATCCATACTTTCTGTCACATGTCCAACAGGCCCCTTGTGAAGGAGTATATTTAAAGTGTCAGTTTTTGAGAGCAAGCATGGGCGAATGAGCAGGCTGGAAACAATATAGGGTGTGTGTGAAGGAATTTTTTAATGATAATATAAACCACACTTGTAGCTATGATAACAACTGGGATCGTTTTAAACTGGGCAAGGTAGTATTGTCTCTCATACTTGTTGGTTATTTTACAGTCTCTTAATAATAAGATATGGGCACCTAGCACTGTCAGTTTGTCAGGATAAGAGATACACACAGTGGGTAGTGCTGTCAGACCAGTGGATGGGTTTCACGTTGAATGCTGCCTGTGAGGTCGTCCTCTCGTGCCTTGCCTCGTACCAAAGACACCAGTTGCAGACCTCAAACAGGCGCTTGTGATCTGATTCTGCGTCTTAGAATACCCCATTCACCCCGTTCTCTCTCTTTCTCCCCAACAGCAGTATTGAGCCCCGGCTGCTGTGGGAGAGGGTGGAGAAACTGGTGCCCAGGCCTGGCAGTGGCAGCTCCTCCGGCTCCAGCAACCCAGGCTCCCAGCCGGGCTCCCAGCCTGGTTCGCAGAGCGGCTCCGGGGAGCGCTTCCGAATGAGATGTAGGATGGCTTTCTGTGGTGGTATTGGGCTGGGCTCAGGGTGCTGGGGTCTCCCACCACGGGAAAGCGCTGTGGTTGGCACACAGCTGCACATCACCAAACAGTGTCCCACTCTAGGTTTACGAATCCCAGTCATGCTAATTGTCATCATAAAGGGCTGACTTTTGAGAGCTTCCGTGGGCCTAGCACTGAGCAGTTTACATGCACTTCCTCATTTAATCCTCACAGTCAGTACCCTAAGATGCTTCGACATGGAGATGTATACCCCTGCCTTCATTTTGCACATTAAGGAAACTAATTCGTGAGCTGAATTAATTTGTGGAGGGGAATTGGCTTAAATGTCACCACTGATGTTTGACCCTCCTTTCAGACACCAGGGCCTGCACCGCCATTTGTCTCGGTGGTTTGGGCATACCCACAACAGATTCGTGAAGCGCCCCTTATTATGTTACTGGCTTAGCACAGCTAGGTAGTGATGGTGAACACTCAAGTAGGCAGTGGTGTTGGAAGATTCTGAGTAAGGAACTGGATAGACTGCCAGACATCTTTTAGGTTCCCCCTTTGCCCTGAGTTCGGACCTACATCTGGAGATCCTGCCGGGAGTGAGGCTGACCTGTAGGGGTGGAGGGGGGCTTAAGCAGCTCTGTAGCACTGTGTGTTAATGTGCATCTGCCTTTCTCCGTCTCTCTTGAACTTCACAGCATCTTCTAAATCTGAAGGTTCCCCATCTCAACGCCTGGAAAATGCAGCCAAAAAACCTGAAGATAAAAAAGAAGTCTTTAGACCTCTAAAGCCGGCGGTAAGGATTATACAAAGTCATTTTTACTTCTTTCAGCTTGAGTAATATTTTCTGTTAGAAATAGTTTGAGAGGTCTGCAGTCTTTTCGGCTCCCCCCCTCCCCCCACAAATTTAATGAATCCAAAGACATGACCTAAAACCCAGACTCACTTCTACCTCTCTGTCTTACTCGATCCATGCCCTGGATAAAGCACTCAGTAATACCTTTTTGCTAGTAATTCACTATGCGTTTTGTGTACAGTCAACCTTAAATGGAAGCACAATGCAAAGTGTAGTAACTGTGTAGCACTATTTTCTTTTAAGAAAATATACACTTAAAAAAAACCCCAAAACCAAAGAAGAGCCTCTTCTACCTGTCTGCTCCGCACAGTCTTCACTTCATGAGCACTGGCTTTTGGATCCATGCTTTTAAGTTTCCTTTTTAAGCTTCCTGGTTGCTTAGTTGTGCCTTTTGGCACTGGGGGAAGCAGCTGCTGCTGCTTCTCAGCGGTGCCCAGCCTTCCTAATGTCGTGCCCTGTCATACAGGGCCTCATGTGGTGGTGACTCCCCCAACCATAACATGATTTTTTTTGCTACTTCATCACTGTCATTTTGCTACTGTTAAGAATCAGGCGACACCTAAAGGGGTCGCAATCCACAGGTTGAGAACCTCCGCTTTAACTCTTCACAGCCCTGTGACTGGGCAAGCCTAGGGGCGCGGGTGTTTGACTGCAGATGTAGGTGCCTCCACTTTATCCTCAATTGTGAGCTATAGAACACATTTTTTTCACTGCTCCGGTGCGTGCACGTGGGGTAATTATCTTTTTCCAAAGAGGAGGCGGAGGACCAAATAGTTTTGTAGCCTATGGTGTACGCGCTGGGATTTTTAAGTGTCAGGATTTGGTTTCCTACTCAGATTGACAGCTGTGCTTCTCCCCTCTCTCCTTTCTGCCACCCTGGCTCATACTGTGCACTCTTCATCAATGGTGGCTTCTGGGACTCACTGGAACCACGCGGTGCCAAAGGCTGAAGTGGTAAGCCCTACCGCTGAAGGGTTCCACCCCAGAGTGACATTGTCGCTGCCTCGTCCCCTTAGCTTGCTTTCTCCTCCTTGAATCTACAAACTTTTAGACTTTGCTTCAGCTCATCACCTACAGAATGTGTTACATGCATCGTAAAGGATTATTACAGCAGTTTAAGTACCCTCTTTAAAAACTGTAACTGTAATCATGAAATCCTGGCACAACCCCAACACTTGTTGAGAAGTTCAGGCTCAGACACAGGAACACTGTTTTTCACTATAGAAAAAAAGAAAAGCTATTTTTAAAAAGAAAAAAAAATCAGCTCTATACCCTGCTTTTTAAAAAAGTCAGTATTTTACAATGAAATTCCCAAGTCGATGGATTTGGAGATTTACGTGAAAAAGAATGTAGCATCAATAATAATCTACCTGGAAAATAATATTTAGTTAATTGGTCAAATCTTGATTGAGGTATTTTAACAGAAGAGAGAAGGAAACCCTTTGAAAAGGCTCTGTCGGGTTTTTCTTTTCTGAAGGTCATACATAGTCTTTGGAAAGTGCAGTGGGGAAAGTGGAAGTAAGGACCAGCAAAGACAGGAAAGTCTGTCTTGCCTCCACCTATGCCAGCTAGACACATAATCATCACCTTTTTAAAATGAAAGAGAGCCGAAGCTTTCTATTTTCCAAAGACTTTCAAGCTCAGAGGCTCAGTGAGGCAGTGCTGCCCTGTCCTGTCGGGGGACGCCGCGTCAGGGTTGACCTGATGGCAGCGGGTCTGGTTTGGGCTGTTAAAACGAAAGCGACAGGTGGCCAACTATTGGTAAAACGAGGTGAACTAAATGGTAACCCTGCCGCTCCTCCTCGTTCACATTTTCTGTAGGTTTGAAACTTTCCGAAATAAAAAGTTAGACGTAAAAGTGAAAACAGTAAAACTTAAACGCTTGAGTCAAACCTGTTTCTGAAGAAGCTTGCTTTCTGGGCCGTGCGCTGAACAGCAGACTCGGTCACGTGGGTGCTGCATCAGGCTCTGAGGACTTGCTGAGGGGCGCTCGGCTTGGTGGGGTGATAGCACGGTGAGACTGTCAATAAGCAGATGACCATGTTGTCCTTGTGGTCGTATTTGAATTGCATTCAACACCTTCGGCAGTCGTTTCCATGAAAAGCTGTGAGAGTGCGCCTTCCTAGGAAGCGCTGGAAGCCACTGCGCGAACAGCGCACCTGCGTGTTTTAGTGACCACTTCAGTAAAGGAGTTCTCGAGCTCACCCCGCTCTCTTAAGCCCCCTCGCCTTATTCTCTTCTTCTACCCTGTGCGCTAGGACTTGACGGCACTGGCCAAAGAGCTTCGAGCAGTGGAAGATGTGCGCCCGCCCCACAAAGTGACCGACTACTCCTCGTCCAGCGAGGAGTCGGGGACGACAGATGAGGAGGAGGAGGACCTTGAGCAGGAAGGGGCCGATGAGTCCCCCTCAGGACCAGAGGACACCAGAGCCGCGTCAGTCCTGGCTGTATTCTAGAGGATGCGGGTCTTCTCTCCTAGCGCTCTGTCCACTGGGAACCAGCCAGGTTTCCTGAGACAGCTGGCACTTCCATAAGGACTGAACATTACACAGCAGGCCGCCTTTGTGGCTTCGCCCCGCACGGCATTCGCACCAACCATGTGCTGCAGTGCTTTTCCTCAGCGTCCCAGCGTGTACTCTTTTTAAAAATTTCCCCCCCTTTCATCTCAGGCTATGATAAAAAGAACATTTCGGTTGGGTTTAACTTCTTTATAACTCTTTAAGTGGCAAACTCTTTGAAGTTTTTGCTCCAAAACAAACTGAACAGGCAGGAGGAAACGCTCACCTATAAGGTTTATACGCTTTCCACCTGTCAGGCAATGCCAGTAAGGTCTGAGGGCTTTGAGCAGATGGGAGATTTGAGCAGAAGTCCCCTGGCCGGTGGGCTTTCGAACCCTTAACTCCTGTGCTTTGTCTTCATAGGTCCTCTCTGAATCTGAGCAACGGTGAAACGGAATCGGTGAGAACCATGATCGTCCATGATGATGTAGAAAGTGAGCCTGCCATGACCCCGTCCAAGGAGGGCACTCTGATTGTCCGCCAGGTACTTGTGTCTTCTCTGTTGTCAGGCTGAGGTTTTCCTGTAGTCATTAACCCACTTGCTCATTCACTCACTCACGCTGTTTCTACATCATCTTCTGTTCTCATGTTAACCAGACCCAGAGGAGAGCAGGTCCTGGGGCTAGGGAGGCAAGGCTGTGTACTGCATGCCCAGAAGTTAGCCAGCAGTTTTCCACCCCATATTGCTGCTGCTCTGCATGTTTTGCAGCAGCCCTCATCCAAGCACCACGCTGATTCTCACGGTCTGTGTCTGAGCAGTAGAAAAGCCACAGGGAGTCTTTCCTTCAGCAACAGACTTCACAGAGTGAGGAAGCCCAGCAAGAGAGGGCAGCTGAGCAGCCGGGCTTGTCCGCAGAGAGCTTCCACCTTGACTGCCTGCGGCGCTGCACTGGGGAGCGACGAGCTAGGCAGTGTGGTTGAGCCAGGCACAGGCAGAGGGAGAACCTCCCCAAGCGCCAGGAGGGTTGGGCGGTCTCTCTTGTTGAATACTTGAATGCATATCACCTGGATGTGCTCCACTTGGGTTTTAACCTCCTCTGTTCGGTTCTCGGTCACACTCTTAGAACAAGAGTTAAACTTATTTAAATAGAACCAGGCACCAATCTAGTGATTTGGACTTCTCCCTGAGTGTGTGTTGCTACGACAATGTACTTGGATGAAAAGTGGGAAGAAGGTGGAAAAGACCAGGGTTCAAAGAACCAACAAGCTTACTTGCTAGAACTCTCAAACAATGATTTTTTTAACAATATGTGGTTTACTCATTTTGGTAACGGAAGCGAGTGTGGCAGATAGGCAGATTGGACCCTCACGGCTAGAATTGTGGAGCCACCAGATGAGGTCCCTGGAATTCTGTTGCCTTGATTTAGGCATTCTGTGTGCAGAACTGGGAGAAACACACAAGCAATTTCCCTCAGTTTTTAGCATTTGAGAGCCACACCACACCGGAAACAGTCAGTTATCAGTAGGGTCGTAGGCCATTTCAGCAGCACGTGAGCCAGACAAGTGTGCCTGTTTTTTCTGCAGAGTACAGTTGACCAAAAGCGTGCCAGCCATCATGAGAGCAATGGCTTTGCGGGTCGCATTCACCTCTTGCCAGATCTCTTACAGCAAAGCCATTCCTCCTCCACTTCCTCCACCTCCTCCTCCCCATCCTCCAGCCAGCCGACACCCACCATGTCCCCACAGACACCCCAGGACAAGCTCACTACTAATGAGGTATGTCTCGCACCACAGCTGGCTGCTTTTCTAGGGTTAGACCAGCACTGCCTAGTAGCTAGTTTGCAGAGGGGAGCTTTCCAGCGACCCTCCCTCCTCCCTACCCCACCCTGCTTTCTTCTGTCACCTCCCCTCCCCCTCCACCCCCAAGTAACATGTTTCAGATCTGCATACAAATCCCTTAACCTTAGATCAGTTTCCCACCAAACCTGCCAGTTCACTATGTACTTTTCTTTAAATAAGTTTAGTTGCATGGCTTTCTGTATTCATTTTTAAAAATATATGAATAAGGTAATTGCTGCGTTCTCAGACCCATTTATGTCTTTGGCATGAAATTCTTGTAGTCATTTGTGGAATCTGCCTATTTTTATTTTGTTTCGTTTCCTTTTTAATTATTTTATATCCAACAAATAAAGCACGCAGGAAAATTTAGTGACGCGGACTTGTCCTTGCCTGGGCACACAAGTTCTCTTGTAAGGGGAGTCTCCTTCAAACAGGGCGTCGCTAGGTGCTTGTTTTTTCCTGTTTGCCGTTTTGGGGCAGGTTGTTGGTTGGTCGGTTGGCTTGGCCTGCCTATTTTTGCCGTCCCTGTTTAAAGGTTTTCTTCCCTCGATAGTCACAATCCACTCAGCGTAGAAGGCCAAACGCTTTTCTCAGAGCAGAGCAAATTAGACTGCTGAGCACCAAGGAGGCCTGTGAATGCTTTTCATTCACCATCTCTCCTGGGAAACCTTGTGCTTGCCCGAAGGCGTGACTGGTACGTGGCCTGGGTGCCAGAGGGTGCTCCTTGCTCTTTGGAAAGGGGTCAGGCCCCACCTTGAGCCCCTTTCACGGGAACAAGGGATTCCGAATCACAAGAGGTTTGAATTAAATGCATTTCCCGAGTATTTGCGGGAAGGGATGCTGACACGTAGCTTTAGCTTTGGCGGCCAGTCGTGGCATTGACCACCCTAAGTCAGTGCTCGCAGGAACCGGTTTTGGTTCCCTTGTTAGAATCACCTTTACCCTCTCCCCTTCTGGAGCAGGGGCCAGTGGACTCCCTCCGAGGCATCAGACTGGCCAGGGGCTGGATTGGTCCCTGGCTCCTGGGGCTGGGGAGGGAAACCCGCCAGGAGGCAGGTTGTCGGGTGAGAAGAGTGGAGCTTGGTGAGCTCAGTGAGCCCTGCCCCCAGGGGAGAGAGGATGGCGGGTGCCACACGGAGCGCTGGGCAGGAGACAGGGTAGCCCCGACAGAAGCCACTGAGACATAGCCTTTTCCTCCCGTGATATATCTCGCCTACACTCACGTTCCTCCCTGTATTTTAAATCTTGCTCCATTTTGCTCTAATGTGTAGTGTTTTCCTATAACCTTTAACTCACTAAACTGGCAAGTTTATTTTTCTGTTTGTTTTGCTTTAATCGTCATTACATTTTCACTTAACAGTTTGTTTCACTTTCTTTGTGTTGTGTTTTTGGATTTTTTTTGGGGGGGGGTGGGGGGTTGGTTTTTTTCCCTTTGTGTCTCAAGTTCCACGATTAACCAAAATACCAGGTGTGCCCTCCAAGGACAGAGGGTGTGCTTGGTTTTGCCGTCGGCCCCTTGCACCAGGGAGCCTGCGGTTGAGACGGGTTTGCCAGTGTTGCACCTAAATGCTTGTAGTCGCAAAATAACTTTAAAATGAACATTTGCCGATAGCCCAGCATAAATTAGTTGGGCTTTTTTTTTCTGTACAAGTGGTAAAATGAGCTTATCTGTGAATTGAGATCAAGGCAGTGAGCCCTTGTTTAGATGTATAATTATATATATGTATGTAAGACTCGGAGTATGAAATGTAGGGTCTATTACTAGCTAGCAACTGCCTTGTTTGCGATGACAGATGCAGACGTCAGAAAGGGAATGTAGCTCTGCCTCTGGTACCAGGTTCCGGGACCGTCCCTGGGGCTGTGATGTCCCCACACCGAGAGCCTGGGTGCAGATTTGGGGAGACGATACAAGAGGTGCTGCAGGGGCTATGCAGTGGGAAGTAGTGTAGTCAAGGAGAGGATGGGAAATGTGTACTTTATTTTTTTTTATTTCATCTTTCAATGTCATTTGTATTAATAAAACTGAAATTTACATTGCAGACTCAGTCCGCTAGTAGCACACTCCAGAAACACAAATCTTCCTCCTCCTTTACACCTTTTATAGACCCCAGATTACTACAGATTTCTCCATCTAGCGGGACGACCGTGACTTCTGTGGGTAAGTAACGGAGCGACACGGCAGCACTCGCTCACCTGGAGCCGTTCCTCTGGGTGGCTTAGGCGTGGCGTGGTCACCGTGCGCAGGCACAGACTGGGAAGCCTGAAACTGTTCCCATCGCGCTTCTGTTGCCTTATTTGCAGTGAACGGCCTAGTCAGTTTCTTTTTTCCATGTACATCTCTTACAGATTTCTTTTCCTTAATTAGATGTTGCTGATAGCTTTTACAATGTTGACTTGCGCTGTAAAATGAATAGGATTGGGGGGTGGGGTTGGGAGGCACAGTGTTTTTTTGGTTATAGAAATGATTTCAACTTTGTTGTGTTTTAGTGGGATTTTCCTGTGATGGAATGAGACCGGAAGCCATAAGGCAAGACCCTACCCGCAAGGGTTCAGTGGTCAATGTGAATCCCACCAACACTAGGCCACAGAGCGACACCCCTGAGATTCGTAAATACAAGAAGAGATTTAATTCTGAGATTCTGTGTGCTGCCTTATGGGGTAGGTATCTCACTGTTATTCTCTGACTCTTAGCGTTCTGAGCCAGAGAGGCTGGCCTTTCAAAAGAAGTGCTCTTTTAATAGTTGGCTGGTTTTTAAAAATTTATTTTATTTTAATTTTTTAGAAACGATTATTCACAGGTAAAGTAGAGGGTGAAAAGCAGTATGCCACTTAATAGAAGGGACTATGTAGTAGGGGGGCAGTGAGCTGACTTTAACTCCTTCATACTTGTGGGGTCTGCCTGGCCTCTTTCAAACTTAGGAAGCTGTGTGTGCGGTCTTCGAGAGCGCTGTGTGCACAGCACCCTGCCGTTCTGCATTCCGAGACGTGGTTTCCTGTGCCCTCCAACCCTGCCATGTCCCTTACTCAGTGCTATCTTGAACACCTTTTGCTGCTGTTTCTCGTGGGGCTTGTACCGTCAGCTAGTCGCCTACAACTGAAGCCTGCAGCCCAGCTTTCAACTAAACCTTCTCTTCTTCGCCCACTTCAGTGTGTTCTCAAGGGGCTGTTAAACTCCTCCTTTCCATTCCCACTGCCCCACCCCCCAGTGTAGGCCTTTCAGCGGGACTTGCAGATCCACAGGTGCTCAGCGGTCCATAGTGTAGTACTGCTCCCGCTTTCCATGATTCCTCCTTGGCCCCTCGTTGCCTGCCACATGACAGTGTTGTTACTGTGGACGTTCGAGCTCTTTCCAGCCCTCCACTTCTGTAGAGAGAGCCTCTATTGAACTCACTGAGAGTCATCTGGACGCTGCCTTCTCATTCTAACCCTTCCTCCCATGGAGTCTCTCGTGTCCCTCCTGGACGGAGGGTGGGTGCATCTCCGCCTCCCTGTGACCTCATCGTCCTCCACCCTCTCCTTGCACTTTCTCTGCCACTCTTGGGTCTCTTATCCTGGCTGGGACTGCAGATGGGTGCCCTTGATTCTCCTTGTTGGGGGG